CACATTTGACAGATGCTCACAATCTGGTGAAGACTACACTTCAAAGTATTTGTTTTTATTAAATTCAAGGCTTACTTTTAACCTAGTTATCCTTACAATGAGACACTTGGTTTTTTAAAATTCTCATTTAAACTTTCAATTTGATTTCTATCCTGAAGTCTGATCATATCTACTCAAAGGTATATAGTGAAGGGCTAAATGTGTCATGACCCAAGTAAGCATACAGAACTTTAAAATACATAAATATGGTGGGAAGAGTAATTGGTCCCATTTTATTTGCCAAACATTCACCTGAAGATTCAATGAGGATTAAAGTATGTAAAATATGTGACCCTAGTGGGGCAAAGCCTAGTCTAGCTTGTCTAGAATGCTGGTGACAACACAGCTATGCATGACATTTAAATTAGTCCAGCTTACATTTGAGCAAAAAGAATGCCATAAATCGGATGTTAATAAATCCACTGCTGCGTCCCAACCTGTCACCTGAGAATACCTGTTTGCCTGGAAGAGCAGGCCACCTGGCACGAAGGACAACAGCTTTCCAGCAGCTCTGGAGACCAACAGGCTTAATTGCTCTGGAAGTGAAGTATGCGGGAGGGTAAGGGACCAAGGGTTAGATCCTGCCCTTAATCCAGCATGGGCAAGCCTTCTTTTTCTGGCAAAAGCTGCATTCCCTTGTGAGTGCCCTGCAGGAGGAAGTACACGTTGGCAGCAGACATGGCCACAACCAGTGATATATGGCACTAAAGCCAAAAGTGGCTGGGTCACTCCTTCCCGTCTCTCTTTTCCTTCCCTGCAATGGCCTGCCAGAAGGGAGAGACTGATAGCTCTTGCCTGAGGTCTTAACTGATTGAATTTGTGGATATGTGCTGTCAAATTGACTCCAATTTATGGTGACCTATGAATGAAAGCCCTCCAAAACATCCTTTCCATGACAACCCAGCTTAGCTCTCCCAAGTTCAAGGCTGTGGCCTCCTTAATGGAGTCAATCCATCTCATGTTTGGTCTTCCTTTTCTTATCCTGCCTTCGATGTTTCCTGGCATGATTGTTTTCTCCAGGGAGTCCTGCCTTATCAAATTAACTGATCATCAAGGGAGTTTGAAGCTGGACCCAAGGTCACATAAAATTAAGCCAAAGGCAGCATGTAGATTGTATGCTCGCCCCAAGCCAAATTAGTTCCTGTCTCCCCAGCCAGCCTCATTTTAGTAAAAGAACTCAACATTTTGAAATCCAATCACAGATCTTCACAACTGAGAAATGCACAATACTCCCCAGAATCCTCAACTACACAGAGTTACTCCATGGAGTAACTCTGTGCTGTTGAGGATGGGGGTTTCTGAACAAAGGGGGTTTGTTCAGAACAAAGAGATATGGGGGTTTCTGAACAAGGAGATGATGGGGAAAGATTTACCTCATGACAGAACATTCTAAAACCCTCTCATAATTAATGGTGGGTTCTCTTTGCTGGAAACCTGCTATTATATACATTGTATATTTTCTAGCATTTAGTTACTTTTTAAATTCCTTTTCCCATTCTTAAAAATATATCAGATAGGAGACTTTAAAATAACAACACCAGCACACAATGGACTAGCAGCATTCTTTTCACTTATTTGAAATGTTTGAGAAAAGGTATTTCTGTTTCTCCTTTAGGATTTTAAAATAATGATAATTTGTTCAAAATTGATTCAGCTAAGTCATTTGGTTTGCCTCAGTAGTCATTCTTTGTGATCCATTCTTAATCCTCTTAGGTCTTACTGAATTTATATTTCTAAAGACATTTCTATGAATCTCACCCAATTCTACATTTTTCTGCAAAGAGATTTTAAGGATTTCCAGCTCTTTCCTAAAGCCTCGGCCCTTGTAACACCTTGCTTCTATGCTTTCAACACATATAATTTAAAATCCAATTTAAAATAAAAGGCTTTGTAATGATTGCTCCACAACCTCAAATTATTCTGACATTTACATGTTTCTAAGAACCTAAAATATTCTTTTGTACTACTGTGTGGTGCGATAAGGCATCCCACCAGTGTTTTCATTATAGTCTCTCTGCTTATTATAACTTTGTAAGTATTTTCATGCTATATGCACCTTTTGCCTGAGAACAGCAAGTTATACAATTGCTGAAGGAGAAAATGGCTTTGTCTGGAATAATGTGCCAGGAACCTTCTACTAGCAAACAACAGATCTAAAGTTGCACAAGACAACCCGAGAATCACTCCTTATGCTGCTGAACTCAGTCCCAGCATGGCAACAGCTTAGGAGGCAAAGCCAGGCCACTGAGCAATAAGTGAGAGGTACCTCCAAGGTGCCCAAATGAAAAATGTCAGGTGGAAAGGACAAACGCCTTCCCAATAGAAGGTGCAAACACAATTACACACTGCAACGTATGGAGCAAGGCTGATGAAGCACGCTTTCAAAGACACATTGCAGGGGCTCCTAGCAGGACACAAACTACAGAAAAAGAATGAAGTGGGGAAAGAGGCAGACGGACGAGGAGGAGGCAGGAACAGATGTGGAAAGGGATGAATCAATAAAATCAATAGTGCAATGAGCAATGTGAGGGGAAATGGAAAGAGGTATTGAATAGGAAGGGCGGAAGGAGCAAGAAATGGAGAGGCATGCAGAGGGACAGAAGGGAAGGATCACAATGCTTTTTAATCCGTCCAAGCAGTCTTTTGTTGCAGGTTCCCACTTGGGCAGTTGTACGATAGAACTTTCACCCAAAGGGGTGTGTGAAGTGCCTGTTTATCTATTTATTTACCCATACTTTTATATCCTGCCTTTCCCCTCAAGGAGGCAAAGGCATACTATTTTATCTTACGTTATCCCCTCTTCTCCCTATCCCCTTTCTATTTTATCCTCTATTTTATCTACTAGCAGACCTGTAAGGCAGGTTAGGCTGAGTGTCAAAGTCACCCAGTGAGCTTCATGCCCAAGTGGGGACCAGAACCCAGCTTCCAGTGCCAGCTTCCAGCTTCCAGTGCCAGCCCAGCACTCACCCCCACCCCCTGCTCCACATGTTTCAGCAGTGCTTGCCAGGGCATCCTCCTCTTGCATGTGCGAGGATGCTCCTTGCATGTGGAGGACACATCCCACAGGATAGACTGATTTGAACATGGAGGGAAGAAAATGAATGGCCAGAAAGCTGTTCTGCATACCGAAGGCACCTCTTCAGGAGAGCGATTTTTTTTACGCACTGATGCTGAAATGCTTAGCACAAAGCCAAAGAAAACCCCTCTGAAAAAGGAGGAGGCCAGGCAGCACAGGGCTCTCAAGAAGAGCTCCGAAGAACGACATGAGTCACTGAAATTCTAGGCTGCAGCTATCAAGCAGTGACTGGAGACGGAAGCAGAAGTGTTTGTGCCAGGCTCTCGCAGTGGCACCTGCCAAGCGGCTGCCAGTGCTGGCCTAAGTACACCTCCCTGTGATGCCTGCACAGAAGGCGGCCTGCGTGGGTACGGCACCGCTGCCCCGTCCCGCTGCACGGATGCAGCCACCGCCCAGCTAAAGCTCAGCCCTGGGAGAGCTGCGGCCGGTAAGTGCAGCGAGTGCCACTCGTGGCTGATGCCAATTGCTCCTTCCTGCGATGCATGCTTGGTGCACAGCTGAGGCACAAGACGCCGCACACGTGAACTGCAAAGACCGGCTGCACTTCGACTGACCCCTTTTCATATGAACTTCTGGGGATACACACCCCAGTGGTGTGATGCCATGCTGAGTCAAATGCGCTGCCTGTGGCAATACAAGGTATGATGGCAATGACGACAGTGACATTTATATCCCACCTTTTATTGCTTTTGGGAAGGCTTCGTGCTTCTCTCCCCTTTCCCATTTTATCCTCTCTACAAATCTGTCAGGTAGGAAGTCTTTAATCAAGACAAGCTTGGGGGCCTTGCCAGGACTCCGTTTAAGCCTTTCTTTTGCCACTTGGATCTAAATAAGGAATGCCCCAAACACTGCAGACAGTAACCAAAGAAAGCCCCAACCATCTGCAAGGAAACTGGGGAGCCAAGCATAAGGTGGACCAACTCCTTTTGAGGATGCAGACATGGCATTAGCATCACAGGTGGCAGGGGAGGGCGGTTATAGGATGGGGATGAGATGTGAGGAGGCTTTTCTTGGGAGAGGAAGGACGGTGAGGTATGCGCATGGCTGGCTCAATGTAGAGCAGGGACCACATGTGGCCTGCACTGTAATTTCAAAAGCCCCCTCCCTTGATCGGGCTTCTGGTGACAGTGTGCTGACCCTCTCCCAGCAAGGAGGGCGAGAGACAGAGAAAGAAAGGGGGCAGGGCAGAAAGTCAGGGAGGAACAAAAGGAGTCCCCAGCCCTGGTGGAGAGGAGAGCCGTTGTCCCAGGTGGTGAGCACTGGGTGCAACTGATAAGAGCACTTTCCCACGCAGCAGGGCAGGGCGCCTGACTTCTTCCATTCCCTGTCGCAGCACAGGAAACAAGGAGAGGGAAGTTTCAGGCAAGGCAAATGAGCTAGACTCTATGCTGCTAGGCAGCCCACCCTAGTCTGCATTCTTACCATGCCCTTGAATAGGTGCAGCTTTTAAATCTCAGCCATTCTTTCATTTCCAGCAACAACTTTCCCTTCGCAAGCAACTTCCACTGGAGAAAGATACCTCATAGCAGACAAAGCAAAAGAGATGCTGTTGGGAGGTGGCCCCCTTAAACAAGAGGAGATGCCCTGTGAGGTCACACTCCTCTTTAGGGAGCACACATGCAGGTCGTGAGTGCTTCTTGGTCCAGGACTACCGCTGGATGACCAGAAGCACCATTTGCCAGCTCTAGCTGTATGCCGGCTGCCTCCTTTTTCAGAGTCTGAAATCACTCCCTTCGTGCATTTTCTGGTGGCACGCTGTACTGTGCTCTACACGGAGCGACTCTTGCAAACAGTTCAGAAACGTAGGGTGAGACAGAATTTTCTGCATCTGCCATGTCCTGGCTCTTTTTTAGATTATCGTGTGTAAGATTAGGGCCAGCCTTACCAAATGAAGGAGACTCTCGGCCATCTTCTAAGCCAGAATCTCGTTCTCTGTCTCTCTTTCTGTGCTTGTGCCCACGATGTCTGTGGCGTCGATGGCTTTTCCTTCCTCCCAGAGGTACATGAACACCGATAAACAAAGTTCTGTGACCTACAGAGCAAAACACAGGGGAGGAAAAACAGATGGGCATTTTTGTTAAACAGAATATTAAGAGCAAGGTGATATAACCAGGAAAGTCTGGTCAGTGCTAATGCAGCCTTGTTTTTGTTTTTTTCCATCCACCCATTCACCCTGATTGGTTTTGGTGTAAGATACTGAGATGCTTCACCCACAAGGCCTCCCCATCCAGCCTGAGGAGGCAACACAGAGGCTGCTTCCGAGGGCATGGGCTCCCGTAGAGGAAAGGAGAAAGGGTGACCCAGCGGTTCCCAATTCTGCTGTCACCCCACACGGTGCTTTCTGAGGCGGCAGTTCCGTGGGGTTGCTCCCCTACCCTCCAGCTTCCTCTCTGTCGGGGTGGGGAATGGTTTTCAGCCATGGGTCAAATTTAATTTTGAAGCAGCTTTCATGGGACACAGTCCAGTAGTGGATGGTTCCAAAGGTTGGGGTTTTTTAAAAGCTGCTTGTGATTTAATACTCTTACTGCCAGCAACAAAGTCTTAGGAGAGACTTTTCAAACTTTTAAAATGGAAGGAAAGCTACACAAAGACCAGGCAGTCTTAGAAGAAAGGAGCAGAGCCAGGGTAAGGGGTGTGACCTTCTGAAGAGATTGCTGGAGAGCAGGATTTGACCCCCAGACTTAGGTTTCCCCACATGGGCTCTAGATGGATTAAAATACAATGGAATATTCCCACTCAGACACCTATGATGCATCATAAATAGCACAGGAGAGGACTGGGAAGAAAAATTAAGGGAGATACATTAGTTCACATTAGTGCTGCATGGTAGGGATGTGTAAGGAATCCTTCTGAGGGTGGGAATCTGTTGGATTTCCTGGGCTTGGCTCCGCAGCCTTGAGAGTGCTTTGCAGTAGCCCTGAGCCCAAGTTCCCAACCAACACTCACAGCTTTTACAGGACGCTCACCAGCAACCAAGCACCATGCTCTGCACAAGCTGCACCCCCCTTGCACACCTGGTGCTGCCACTGCCACGGGAAGCACCAGGTAGAGCAGAAGGTAGGTCTCCAGGAATGGTTGCTGGCCTGGCTGCTCACAGCACCCTTCTCCATGCCTGCCCAAAGAGGGGCTGCACCTGGCAGGAAAGGTTGCCAGTTGTGTGACCAGGGGTGTGAAATCAGTTGAGGACTCGCTTTTTGCTCAGCTCGCTTTTTGAGCATGAGAGCTAGTCTGCTGATGATGGGGAGGCGGATTCCAAAAGGGTTCATCCCAGCACTACTCTTGGGCACAATTATGTGCCATTGAATGAATATTTTGTATCAACATTACAACAACTATACAATAAGGAAGTTTTGTGAAAGGGCATCTTTCACTTGAGAACAGGCTTGGCCAGGTGTAGTCCCAGCCATATTTTCTTCTAATAGTCTCAAGAGCTACAAGGTGACAAAAGCAAACAGCTACTGCTTTACTAGAATCCATGTGTCAGAATCACCCACCCATATATTCTGTGGGACAAAAAGAAGCTCAACTACCTTAAACTAAAACACCACATGACTTCTAATACCATTTAGACTCCAGCAAGGACAAGGGCAGAAAACACGGCAAGGCATCGTTTGTCACAAAATGTCAACGAAATTTGGGGCTGTCGTGAAACTGCTTGAGAACCAGTAATATACAAGTTCCTGGCAGACAATTAAAACACTGGTCTCTTTCTACCTCACTCCCCAGCCCTTATATAGTGTGGTCCAGAAAGAGGCATTCCAGAGAAGCTATTATGGTTTCCATTTTTAATAGCATTTTTGCAAGCTCATTGGGCTTCTGCTGCAGGAAGATCTCAGAGGAGCTGCTACCCGAGTTCACTCAGATGTGAGCAGAGCCCACACTGCCACTGGGGATCCTGCTTTATCGGGCTGCAGGCAACATGCCAAGGAGGCTGTGTGCATCCAGGTGCCACAGTGGCAGCTGCAAACAGAGCAGGTTGCGTTAGCCCACATGGGGACACTGGATCGGCATGTGCTTCCCACATGGGTTGGGAACAGTTCTTTGGGATCATCATGATACAGTTAACTTCTCTGGTAAATGAAGGGGCATTTTGAGGGCTTCATGGATGGATCATTCTTTCTTCCAAATCCACCACATGTGGATTTCCCTCTCTTGCTTAACAGCCTGCATTGGTTATGAAACACACACACACACACACACACACACAATAACAAGTGGTGCTGTTATGTAAAGCATCTCAAGCAGAGTACCCTCAACTGCAGTACAAAATAACAAAATGAACAACTAACCTATCCCTAAGTGCATTTTTAAAATAAATAGAAATAGTATCTTCATATTTTTGTTATGGGAATGACATATGCTGAAAAAAGGATTTTTCCAATTACTTCCAGGAGCAGAAAAGCAATTACTCACTGCTTTAACTTAATTGAGTCTTTCTACCTGGTGCAAAAAGTAGGCAGTCTTATCTTACAGCTGCTCTTTCCTTTCTGCAGCCTAAGATGTTAGAATTCCTCACTCTGCTCCTTTAGACTGTTCAGGGATGGGGGAATGGTCATCAATGTACGTATATAAACATTTAGCAATGCAGTCATATCTATGTCTACTGAGAAGTAAGTCTCATTGGCCATTTTGGCAGCATTCCTGTAGCCAATTACTTGGTAGCAAGATCCAGCAAAGTTAAAAGTACTTCCTTCTGAGTAGACTAGTGTAGGATTCTGCTGTTATTGTACTATCGATACTGTTTTGCAATGGAATTGGCTTATGACTTGTTTGCCCTCTTTATTATCATTTCTTTATTATCATTCTGCATTAATTCCCACCCACCCTTTCACTCCAGCCTGAGAACTTACTTTGGAATGAAAAGACACATTACTAAGAAATTAATTCAACAAGCATAAAATGAAATGCAAGCCCTTAATTCCACAGCTTTAATCTAATCATATAATTTCCCCTCCAGAACCTTGTATGTCTGTCCTCTACTGCATATGCAGTAGTGTTGGGAGAAAGATTTACACATTTATTTATATAGAAGGAAAATATTTTCAGCATAACCTTAAGCCCTCCAACAAGGTATTGTTCATACAAAATATGTATGTACCACCTTTTGACTCTCAAAAGGGTTCCCAACTATAAACATGTTTCTTGGTATCACGTTATTAATATATAAGAAAGTAGGGCTATACTTGTAACATTAGGAAAAACATTTTAATAGTAAGATCTTTTTGACAGTATTATTATATTGGATTTACACCTTGCCTTTCTTCCTCTTGCAAGGAATCCAGAACAGCTAACAAGGTTCTCCTCCTCCCTATTTTATCCTCACAACAACTCCGTGAGGGAGATTAGGCTGAGAGTGTGTGACTGGCCCAAAGGCTCCCAGTGGGCTTTTAAAATGGGGAGGTGGTGGCTAGAACCCAGATTTCTTGAGTCCACAGACTGGAAACATTCAGCATTCATTTCAGTCCCCAAGAAAAGAGATGCAAAGGAGTACAAATCTAGGACCAGCCCACTAATTTCACATACAAGTAAAGTAACGCCAAGCTATTGCAACAAAGAATTTTGCCGACATTCAAGTTGGATTCCAGAAAGGAAGAGGCACTCCAGATCATACTGCAAATATTCTTTTGTTACTGGAACACATAAAAGCATAGTTTGGGAGTGCTTCTTGACTCAGAGTTACCTTTGGTAACTGCTGTGGCAAAGAGTGCTTTCTGCAAGCTTCAGTCGGTCCACCAACTACGCACTTACCTGGATGAGCAGAGCCTACCAACAGTGACTCAGACTTTGGTAACCTCCCAGTTGGACTGTTGTAACACACTCTATGTGGGTCTCCCCTTTAAGACAGTCCGGATACTTCAATTGGTATGAAATAGAGCAGCCAGGCTATTGACAAGGACTGGCAGGCATGGCCATTTAACATGGGAGCTGTACCATCTGCCCTGGCTACCAACTGAAGTCTGGGCCCAATTTAAGGTATTAACTTTGACTTACAAAGCCCAAAATGGTCTAGGGCCTGGATAGCTGAAGGAATCTCCTTCCATATATACTTGCCTGAGCCTTAAGATCCTCCTCTGAGGTCCTTCTTCGGGAGCCCTCTTTGAAGGAGTTTAGAAGAGTGGCTACCTGGAGAAGGGCCTTCTCTGTGGTGGCGCCCCAGCTTTGGAACCTGCTCCCCAGAGAGGTGCACCTGGCGCAGGCATTTTATTCATTTTGGAGCCAGGCCAAAACCTTTTTATTTACCTGGCATTTTAAGGTTTGATGATATTTTAAGATAGTAAAATTAATGTTTCATCTTTATTTTAATTGTACGGCTTTTGTTGTAAGCTGATTTGACAGCTGTGTGGTATAGATGGGATACAAGTGTTTTAAATAAATAAGTAAGTGAGTTTCAGCAGAAAATCAGTATATGCTTTATACAGCAAAGCAAACTTTGGCTGTGTAGATCTTGGAGAGTTCTGAAAGAAATGGGTGTGCTCCATGTTTGATGGGCAAGCATCAGGACAGAATATGGAGAAACAGAATTGTTTCTTGTAGGTAAAGGCATCAAACAGGGGTATATTTTATATCCTTATCTGTTCAATCCATACAGAGAACATAACATACAGAAATCTGCTTTAGGATCAGAGGAAGGAGGAGTGAAAACTGACAGAAGATACATCAATAATTTAAGATATGCATATTCCATATTATGGAGAGAAAGCAACAACGAATTGAAATGCTTCCTGATGCAAGGGAAAGAAGAGAGTGCAAAAGCAGGACTACACATTAAGAAAACAGAAATCATGCCCACAAAAGACTTATACAACTTTAATGTCAACAATGAAGAAATTGAAATTATGAAAGATTTTGCCAACCTTGGCTCAGTCATTAATTCAAATGGTGACTGCAGCCAAGAAATCAAAAACAACTAATATTTGGAAGAGCAGCAATGAAGGAACTAGAGAAGATTCTCAAATGTAATGACATTTCACTGGAGACCAAGGGCAAGGTCGCCCACACTATTGTATTCCCAATTACTATGTATGGGTGCGA